TATGTTCAATCTCTTCCCACTGCCTAGGTCGGAACATGAAAAGAGTTGGACCAGTGAAGTATGGAAATGGTACTTGGAGACCAAAAACTTCAGCTACATTTTCAGGACTGGTGGAGACCCGTGGTATACTTATAATGTCCATGTGTGGTCAATACCAGTTGAATTGAAAGGCTCCGTTACCATTTATACGGCTCTCGTGGCATTCTCAAGATGCTCACGAAATGCGAGACTCTACCTCGAGCTCGGATTGATATACTACTTCATGTATATTGCGGATGGCGCGCACAATGCAATGTTTGTGTCTGGAATGCTTCTCTGCGACCTGGATCTGCTCGCCGAAAATGATGACTTGCCTAGTTTCTTTTCTAGATTCGATTCTTGGAAAGAGCTCATTTTCTCTAACCTCTTCGTTGCCGCTATGTACCTTGGAGGTGTGCCTACTTTCGATTTGGATGAGAAGGTATTGAGAAACACTCCAGGGTGGCACTATCTATCCTATCTGAAGCCACAAGCCGTATTCGATTACAAGTGGTTCTACCTATTCTTTGCTGCGACATTTCTCGTGGCATCCATTCCTCGAATCCCATGGCTAAAGAGCTTCTTTGAAACTCGATTTTGCCAATATATGGGCCGTATATCTTTCGCATTCTATCTTGTGCATGGACCCATCATGGCACTTCTGGGCGATAGATTATACTCCGCGGTCGGCTGGTCAAAAGAGATGTCGGATGAAATGGCACCGTGGAGAAATATATTCCCAATATCGAATGTCGGGCCATTCGGGATGGAGCTGAGCTTCTTTCTTCCCCATTTGATCCTCTTCCCTGTTACACTTTGGATTGCGGAGATTGTTACCAGATTGATCGATGAACCTAGTGTGAGGTTTGCGCAATGGCTATACAGAAGAACTCTTGCACCATCACCTCGTTTGTAGAATTATGGAGCCAGATATCGGGTATCGATGTACTTGTCAGCTCATTTAGGCGTTTTTTAATTAGATTAGATGTCATGGATTGTGCCTTGTAATGACGAAGACCGGCTCGGTCAGTTACCTTAAAATTTGTCTGACTGCAGCCCTTCGTGCGGTGCCTTTAAAATCAATACCAACAATTGGTTCATCAACATAAGTCATGCCGCTTTATTCATGTACCCCTGAAGCCACCTTATCAAAATCGCAAGTTTGCCCCATGGAGTCCGTTCGAGGTCAATAGGCAAAATGCATCTACAGGGGACGGGCTTTTGCATATGTAACTTCACAATCTTTGTTCGAGTGGGAGATAAGATTACTTGCCACCAGAATATTGCAAAACGGGCCAAAAGTTGACTATCCCACACCTCCCTAACCTTACCCCAACTTCATTTCCTTCTCAATGCCGGCCATACACCATGATTGTTCGTCCTGGAGCCCTGCTCCGATTCTTGCCATTCATTGTAATATCTTGTGTTATCTTGTATCATAGTTGGAATTCAGTGCGGCCTACCCAAAGCATATATTCCTCCGCATATATAGCGCATCCTCAAGCTGGAAGGTATTTTGAACAAGTATTTTCGGTAAACAAGCCAGCAGATTATGATTTTCCAGCTCTCGAACAACAATGCGAGGAGACAGAATGGGCGAAAAACGAGGTGTACTTAGATTGCAGTGGCATATTTGCGGGGTTGACAACAATCGTTTCTCAAGTAAAGGTTTGCTTGAAGATGGCCTTGGAGTCTGGCCATGGATTAATTCTACCATCAATTCACTATCGCGATAAAGATAACCTGCAAGAACTCAACCAGTTTAATGAAAAAGCATCTATGACTTATGGCGAATGGTTTGACGAAGCTCATTTATTAGAGCAAATGAATAAAGCTTGTCCACAGATGCGAATCATCAAGCCTCGTGAAATCGAGTCTGGTGAAGTTATTGTGCAACACCGCTGGTCGATGGAGCTCTCAGCCAAAACTGCTCCAGGGCTTTCACTATTTAAGGGATATTTCTGGAAAGGAAGGGGTTTTAAAGACTTCTTTGATGCTCAATATACTCAATTAGAACAACTTTTCTTGTTAAATCCTGGAAACAAACTTAATCATGGAGCTGGTATAATTGCCATTGAGATTAATCCTCAGTTCCTAATCTTCAGAGTCACAGACGATGCAACTGGACAAGATCTTAAGTTATGGAATGAGCTTGGATATCTCATCCGGTTTAAAGAGCCTCCTCGGCGGGTCGTCGATCGACTTTTAACTCAAATGGATCGTCCTTTCTATGGAGTTCATTTCAGAGTAGAATCTGATCAAATCTGGAGCTCCCTTGAAAGTCAGCTTCAGAAAGATCTAGATGCTTTGGACCGCGCATGGAAGAAATATGGTAGTCCTAGGGAGGAGAAAACTTTGATCTATTTGGCTTGTGGAGATCAAAATCAAGTGCTGAAATTCGTGGAGGCCGGGAAAGCCCGAGGTTGGAACGTCACACATAAGTGGAAACTAGCAGAGAAAGATGCCAATACTTTGAAGACCATCAACAAACTGAGTTTCGATTTTCAGGGTGCTATTGATATGGGAGTGATGCTCAATAGCCACTTTTTCTTGGGACTCACTGGGAGCGCGTTCTCATCCTCTGTTGCGAACGCTCGTGACTCTACTGGAAGATATCGAGGAAGTTCTTTCTCGCTCTTCGATGATGGAGGTGCAAGAACTCATCTTTTTAATGATGGGGAGTCGAATTATTATCCTTGTTGCCTGTAATGATACCATTTCTCAAAGGAAGCAAGAGCAAAGCCATATGTTTCGAGGCATCCAGAGAAGGCACGCTTGTTATTTACTCGATTTCTTAATTCTGTATACCCCTAGAAGCAAGCAAATATGAATAGAAATGTACGTTAAAAACAACTTCTTTCTGCTGCAAGACACATTGTATTTTATAAATGTTCTAATTTATCTTCTGATTGCTCTAGCTCAAATGTCCAATCGACTCCAAGTGGTTTCTTATTCCTTGTTCTAGATCTATAATCTCAATTTCAACTCAAGCGATTCGAATAGCATTACCTAAAGTCAAATTAATATGATATACAACTTCTTGTTATTGCCAGGCTGATAATCCCGAAGTGGTCATTCCGTACCCGCAATAATTTGCCGAGATTCGCCCCTTCATTCTCGTCTGAATGGTTACAGACGAATGGTACGTCCCGGTAAGCGAAGGACTTGATTACTATTATGTCACCTATTTCACGCTTTCTAATACATCACGTCGAACAGGTGCTTGGAGAAGCTTTAATATGAAGTAATTATGATGGAACTTTATTTCTGCTCTAAAGGACACCAGTGCAACACAGCATTATCAGGAGAACTTTTGATGCGCTTAGTGTCACTCAGTATCAGGTGCTCGAAGAGCATTCTCTTAATAATTGATACACTGATCTAGGCAACTGTGGAGACCACATCCTCCCACACTTGTTAAGTCCTATGTCAACTTAATTCCCACCCACTTGCGCTTTTCCTACCAAACTCCACCCAGCAAGAAGATCCGACTCCCGCAAAAAAAAAAACACATCATGTAGTATAAAGTTCGTTCCCCGTTACTCCTGAAAGGAAAGCTGATCAGACGAAATACCAACTTTCAAACCGTCCGTAACCAAAGTATCTTCCGGACCTCCACACTAATCGAGTTTAACGGTTCGGAAGATTGGTTGATGCTTGTGGTGATTTAATTGAAATCGCAGTTGTTGCATTCATAATGACCACAGCTATTACAAGAAGTGGCTCCTGGTGCACCTTTAATGAGAGAAGTGCTCTGACCACATCTGCAACAGGTCATGATGGTTGCTGCATCAACAGCTGGGCCGCCGAACTCGCCGAGGTTGGTTGGGTCATTCATCATGACAACTTCGGCAAGAGTTGGGGTGATTTGGTTTGGGAAGTAATGCTCTTGAGCTTTTGATAGCACATGGTGACATATATTATTAAGCGTTTCAATTTTGTGTTTTGCTAGAGGATGAAGCTAATTGAGGGGTTTTAAGAGCTTGTTGGTATAGGGTGATTTAGGTTGCTCGGGGGTCGATATAGGAGTTGTATGTTATCGAAGGATCGGATTTTGGACTTGCAGTGTTGCAAGATGAAAGAGATACAGAGGAAACGAAGAAGGCAGATTAAGTAGCTAGAACTTTGCAACATCGTGGCATATCATTCACAATTACAGAACGGCCGTACTGTAAAGATTCACTAACATTGTTCCAGAATAACGTTGTATGAAATGAGACTACAATAATAGTACACGAGATTGCGAATCTGAATAGCATCGAGTTCTGTTTATTTTTGGTTCTCGTGAAAAAATCATCTAGCCAGTGCAGAGATAGTGAAATTAGATGGGTCAATATCCACTTCACGTTCACTCAGAAGAGCTTTTGCGAGTGAATTCTGGTTGTGACCCTCGAGCTGTCATATCCTTCTTCACTTCATATTAACATCTGGATTTCAGGCACGAGATCAGGATAGAAGTCAGACTAAAAAATTCATTATATTCTATCACATCGTATCTAGTAGATGGTTCTAGTGTGTAAGATAGATCAAATATGACTGGTATGAGGGTATAAACGCACACGCATCATATAATGTCCATTCAGATAACAAAGAAAAGGCCAGAGAGGAATGAGTCTTTACTAGAGTGCCTGCAGTATAAAAGTCTTGATTCAAGGGTTTTGAATGTTCACGTGAAAAGTATAGTCTCCAATACATAAGAAATTGTAACTTGATTATGACTAACTCTAGCTTTGCGTCATATGACTGTACTTCAATATTTTAACGTAGAATCATGCAGGTCCCAAATCATTACTCGAAGTATTTAATACAGGAACTTCTGTGAATATTGAGCAGAAAACGATTCTTGATATGAATTTCCCGGGAAATGAGTCGAAAAACTTACTTTCAAAAGTCGATATAGTTTTCGCTGTCGGCAGTTCCGAAGCAGAGCATACAACTTTTACAACGACAACAAAAATGCAATTCGGTTACCAAACTTTACAATGACTCTCGATACTATACTCAACAATAAGATGCGTGCTCGGTACATCTCCATGCTTTGGAAATGCTGCCGCTGCGAAGCAGCTCCTGAAGCCCTGCCACTTTACCTTTGCAATGCTCTCGGTGCAGAGAACAAGTCCATTTCAGGGAATTGGAGGTATCCAATTTTAACTTGTGGCGATACATCGTGCGCTATATGCTACAGACCAAAAACAAAATGTTCAAATTCAAAATGTGAACACGAAAAATGCTACGGATGTCCTTCTCATAATGGCGATATCAATTCTGACAATTCAAGAAACTCTCGAGTATCACTCACAATCATAGGAGGCGAAAGATTCGCACTTACTTTCTTAATGGGATCTAATTGTCGGTGGCAATGTACTGAAAGCAGTTTCCCAAACTTCAACGTGCTCGAGGGCCCAGAACCTTCATTTTGGGACGACGATTACAAAGATCCAGAGCCAACTGGGCAGAAAATAACACGTATAATACCGCTACCCAGGGTTATTGCCAACCGATATCTTCGAAGGGAGGAACGGCATATCAAGGACGAGACAAATTCACAATTTGAGTTGAAGGATAAGTCTATGGCAGATCCGCAACCTCCCATGTCTGGATGCAGCCCTATTTTACCAGACAGAGCCATCCAAGCCTCAGAAATAAATTCGAGACCGGCAAAAACTTCACATGAAAGTCTCCCACAAGCCCTTGAAATGACTGATATCGGTAACAATGTCAACAATAGTCTAGATAGCCTAGAAGATAGTAGTAAGTTCACTTATACCCCTATCAACAGCCGAAATCTTATAGTTGCAGGTACCAGAATCTCGGGATCGGATGAAACACAGACTAGAAGCGATTTCACCATCACAGAATCAAGCGGTCAAACGACTAGACCAGACCAGTCTAAATGTTCTGAAGTTCAGGGATCAGCATCCATATCCGTTGTGAACACACTGCCCTCTGTGCTAGCTTCCAGTGCAGATCTCCTCCCGTTGCCCCCCTCACCCCAGCCTACGGCTGTCGTGGAAACCGAGTCTTCAATCTCGGATGAACACAGCCCCCAAAATCCAATAGTCCGTACAGAAGACCGATCTGAAAAAGAAACTAGTTTGAAGGATGGCGCTACTCCAGTGGAAGAGAAAGAATCCTATTGTATGAGTGGAATTGCCGGTCAAGCAGTAGATCTTCCACGTCCACTTTCAACTGCGAACCCTACTGATTTTGTATCCGGTGGAAAAAAGTTTTCATCATATTCGGGATCCGCAAATTTCAGATCAATTAGACCGGCATCTCCACTCATAAGAGCTCCGACAAGAACACCAAAGCTTTTAAGGCGTATGCATCTAAAGCATCCGGCCCACAACCCACCTTTAACTCCCCCACCCAATTCTCCGATACCACCACCGATCCCGCCTCCAGAACATCAGCAAGGTCGGATATTCAACCCTATTCTTAGTGAAAGGCCAACTAGGCCTCACAGAATCTCACAAGATTCCCCATCGGGCAGATGGACCCCACTATTTCAAGAAAGTTCACCACAATCCGGGACGCCAAATCTTTCGACTTCTGCAGTGATACCACAGAAAAGGCCACCATCCCCAGCGATCAGGCCCGCCAAGATTATACGTCGACAAAGAAGACTGTAGCTTGTTTGAACACATGTCGGCGCTACATAATTGCAGATCTCAGCATCCGAGACAGCATGGTATGGGAATTTCATGAGATGGATTGATAGGGTGGGTATTTTGGACCCAGAACTTGTTTCCTTTGTCTTCCCTTTCACTTTCTTTGGTTTCCTTGAGGTTCAATTTTCTTCTTCTTTTTTGGATCGAGGTTTTGATGAGTTGAAGCTGAGTTGTGCTACGTTGAGTTGCGAGATACTGTAATGTGGATGATGAGAGTGTCGTGGTATGAGAGTGTTTTGGAAAGGTTGCTTGATATTTGTTTTTCTTCTTAGGGGTCAAGTCAATAGATATTTGCAATTTTATTTCGATTCAAAATGCAGCACTCATTTCATGACACCATATAGTGAGTCTCTCTCAGCCGGACTTAAGATATCCCGAAGCCATTTTGTGCAGCCGCATTACTTGGTTTTAAATTATCCCTCCAATATGCTGAATTCTTACCATGCTTCCTATCAAGTAATCCCCAAGGGCCTCATATTAGTAAAGGGGTATCTAGGTGGGTTCACGAACTTCATACATCACGAAATAAAGAAACATGTGATAGAAATATTGTTTAGACTCAACGACTAATTGACAAGCGAAACAACTATCCAGGGGACTGTTTCATGCATGTACGACTTTCACTGCTGTATGGGTTCAAAATTAAAAAACGCCTCTCGTTTTCTATAGTATCTTCCGATTGTTCAAGTTCTTCAATCAGTTGGACTCTTGAAGGGCATTGGCCACTAAAACTTCAGTCGGTCGATTCTACTATACACTGCGTTCAAACCTTTGAATAATACACACCTATATCATATCGAGTATTTCACCATTTCTTGAAGCACCCCGTCTTTATCCTCTTCCAAATAATAGTGGCGTAGCAGATCCTCGCTCGGTCCCCGTGGACTATGATACCGAATATAGCTCGTCAGGGGCACTCTGTACCCCTTTTTGCAATCCCGCTTCTGCAAGACCTTCTCCTTGCTGCAATGAATACATATTCTGCCATCTAGTAAAACGCAACTATGATTGCAAACGCGACAGTTAATTGTATATTTCTCTTCGCCCATGTTCTCGTCATCCATCTTCGTCCAAAGACGAGGATTATGCTTACAGCACCCCATGTAAGTTGCAATAGTTCCATGATTTTCGTCCTCGATCAATTGCTTGACATATTTGTAATACTCGGGGGTCCGATTCTCTGGTACCAAAAGTACCCCGTTGTGGTGACCGAGTTGATCTGTTTGATTGGGGGCGTGAAGCATTTCGAAGAGCTCAGTATACTCGCGGCAAGGATGAACAAAATCTATCTTGAAATCGCTGTTCTTGATCGAATTATGATGAAGAAAGTCGGACGAGTCTTAGATAGGTCTCTGGATGGCCGCCGGGCCCTCAGAATAGATGATACATTCCAGTGTGTTTCCCATACAGTCATGCGGGGAAATACACTTGTAAATGAGATGACTATGGACGGGCTCATGCACATTCATGGGTTCATTGGATTGCTTGGGCTCGACAGGCAAGCTGCTACTACTTACAGCTTTTAGGACTAGTACTAATGCTTTCACCGATATCTTTTCGAGTGTTGAAGGTATCGAAAAAGTCTCGTCAAAGAAAAGCTTCGTATGAAGAGCGCGTTTAATGTTGGTGGATTGAACTTCGGCTTCCGTGAGTGACGCAAAAGCATGCTCGAGCAGCTCTAATACTGGTGGGATCACAGATGTAGGCGATTTAGAAGGATCTGAAGGCTCAAAAAGAGAGACTAGATCTGGATGCTCGAGAATGTATCTCTCGCCACATGTACGTTCCACATACTCCTTGAATGTTCTGCGGGCCTCTAATCTGTCTTCTAGACTTGATTTTGAGATATTGGACCAGGAAGTGTCTTTATCAAGGCTTGGAGATGGCATAATTAAGCTTTTCGTTGTTGGCTGCAGGTTTTTCTTGCGATGTTTCTGATGCATCCAGATACAAATTAGAGAAAAAGAAATCTAAGACATAGGGTCCTTTTGAATCTGTGGGACTTAACAATTTGTCACAGGCATCCATAGATTGTGACTCTCAAGATATTTATGAATCATTTTTAAGCATTTCGACATTAGTTATGGCAAATTATGAGTAGGCAGTGTCTTAGTGACTCTCCGATCAAGCTTACCTTGACTAGGAGGAAAATCTAGCCCCAGTGAGAAATCACAGAAAGCCAAATTACCTCGTCGATACTCGTGGCTAGGTAGGTACTCATACGTACAGCCCGATATGCAAAACTCATACCACCCATCCGCTTGAATATGAAAGGTTTCCAGTGGTCAGGTCATCATCTTGGAAGGAATCTCAGAATAGATAAATAAGTGATCTCTTCATTATTGAGAGACTTGTTACGAAGAGGCTGACATCGAAATGGGCTACAACAGAGGTAGCGTGCAAATTTTCTCCAATTCGGTGGTTCAGGAGCTAGATCCATACCACCAATTCGCTATGAGTCTGTTCAACAAGAAAATCAATGAAGGAATGGTTCCGGGAAGAGGGTAGTCAGAAGTAAGGAAAAAGTGGGAATGTTTTCGAATCTCCTGATGTATATGAATCATTCTCAAAACATTCGATAAGTGTCCTCAATTCACTAACGTAAAATCGTTCGTCAATCCCATTAATCTGAAAGTGATCTAAGATGTGTGAAGAAGCGAATTGCTGTGTGTAAACTTCATGACCATACACCCTCGGCCAACTTTCAAAGCCAAAACTAAGTCATCGAAGGACCTCATTTTATACAAACTCTTTTCCCGGGGCCACCGATAATACCGTGAATATTTGTTTAAATTCTTGACATTAAATGTGTCTGCTAACAATAGATCATTTCAATAGCAACTTCGCCTAAATCTCGACCTAAAATATCTACAGAATAAACCTTCACACTGTGGAAGAAGGAAGGGTAAAAATTTTAACCATCAAAGTCATTCGTTAGTATGAAGGTACTTTATCTACACAAGTGATCTAGAAGAATCACTGTTATTTCATTAAGATAACTACCTAGGTAGTTTGTGTTGAAATCAATCTTGTCTTTTATCTCCATCTAGCATGATTCAACTATTCTCCAAAGATACACAGATTGTAACCTATCTATTTCTCCATATCTCAGTCATAGAAATGATGATTGCTCCCGCAATTTCATACTAATTGCACTCACATTAAGCCAGGACAAATCCTTAAACACTGTAGCAGTTCAGACACAAGAACCCTTCCATAAACCTGATCATGATCATCCACACCCACACTAAGAATTATCTCATCATCCAGAAACCCCACATCTTTACCCCTTACATCCTCATCTTCCCTGTTCCAGGCATACGCTATAGTTGTGGTATAGGTTAGCTTTGCCCAAAAACCACGACCTTCGGACAAAGCCTCTGGATTATCATCCCAACTTTCTTCGGCCGTCCAACCAGTGGTTGATTCATTTGCGAAGAGAATCGGATGTTGACTGATAGCCAGCATGCTAAAAGGAGACGTTGCTGCCCACATAACAAAATATCTTTCGTAACGGATCGGTAGGTCCAAGAAGTTTTTGTGTTTACGATGAATGGCTGCAATAAAAACGGTATCCGGAGCCTCTGAAATACAAGAGTTATTAGAACGAGTACAAAGAATCAGTTTTAAAGCAGGTGTGGCCTGATGCCAAGTAGCATTTGCCATGTATCTATTGAGAGCTATTTGCTCTGGCGTTGCGTCAATGAGACAAGGGATCTCGTTTGGATCGGTCAAATTAGTTGTTGTGAAGCCATTACCAATAAGTTTTGCAAAGGTGCGTTGTGAAGAAGTCAGCTCATAATGAACGTATGATGAGGATGGAGTTGGTGAAAATATGAACCAGTTCTTTTCATAAGATCTGCGGGTCTCTGGCGGATTGCGTGTCAACTCGGTCAGGACAGGATAAGACTTGAGTGGCCCTCCGAATCTCTTAGGTGGTGACGAGAAGGTTTTTTCCAGGTCGGAGTATACAGAACGAAGATCAATGGACCATATTCCGATGCAAGCATATCGCGATCTGGAAGTTCTTTAGTGAAGAGTATTTGGTAAGGAAGAAAGAAAATCATACTGAGAAGATATCATAAGTATCGGCTCCCCTCTTCCGGAATAGAAGATCCTAGGATCATGAAAGCCAGGTATATCAGCCAGTCCTTCCTGATTCCCCTGGCAACTTTCTGCTGGGGTTGGAGGAACAGTCACCTCGATAGGCGCATTTTCACATCTCATCCCTCCACTACTACCGAGAACTTCAATATCGTCGTCTGTACAAGTTCTGTCTTGGAGGTGTCCACGATTTTCAGTCTGTGGGTGACAAATATTTGCTTCACACAAAACGTTGACTCGGTAGCCACGGTCCTTCAAGTACACCATGCTCACGATCAAATACTGATTCTTTGCCCAATATGGCAGAGAGAGAATAGTTGGGTTCCAGAATGTTCTTGACTCGGGGGATCCAAGACTGGGTCTCATAGAAATGTTGTAAAGTAGATTAGGAAGTCTAATATGGTTCGTGAATTTGTTAACCGGGTCGGAGCAATGCGTAGTGAGTTGTAATAAAGCATGTGGGACAGTAACTTTCGGAGTAGGGAGCTCGTTTAGATTCCTACTACCTGAATTTGCCCATGATTGAATCTTACTTTTTGAATAATTTTTCAATGGACGAGGTATAGGAATTCGCAATGGGGCATTGTGTTTCTCGTGGTTATAAACTTGGTGTCCATATCGGGAAGGTGAGAGGTTCGAGATAATAACAGCAGCCCAGAAAAGAATTGCAAGCGGTAAGATTAGTCTTCTCGCGAATTTTCTTGCCATTGCGTACGAATTGCAGAGTAGGAAGAGAAATGATTAGGAAGAGTATACTGTAGCTTACAACTGGCAAATTCCAGTATTTGGCGCCAATCGAAACAATAAAACAGAAGATAAGGAATCGAACCAGATATTAAGTTCCTTGAACTTACTTTTGTTTGCTTGGTAATATTGAGGTTGGCGGTGATTGTGGAATACGGAAGGTGCAAGTCTGAGGTAAGAAGCTCTGAAAGTCTCTGGAAACGCTCTTGCCACCTCAGAAGTCTTTGCTATATTCTGAAATCTATCGTTGTGACATAGTTGAGCATGAACACACTCTTTACATTTTGATCACTGTAAATTTCTTTGCCTTTTGCTTTGCTACAATCTTGCTCTTTTGCTCAGTTTTGATCGATTTTGACCGATTTTTGCTCATAATGGTTTACATCTCCCCTTTATCAACTCCAACTGCGACTTCAACTGCAACAAGTGAAACACCTCTTCGACCCCCGACTAACAATACGACACCGTGGTCAGAGATCTCAATGGAAGAATGGCGGAATGGAGTGGATTTTAGAAGCCCGCCACCAGCTTATGACGAAGAGGAGCAATCCGAAATACCTCGCCGACTTTACAAAGCCAACTTGGAGCACCTTTACAAGGCTATATGGCTCACAGTATTAATAATGATTTGTTTCTGGTATTGGCTGAGTCAACAACAGCAGCGAATACATTTCTATCAATATGACACAAAGCTTTCTACAGCAGGGCCACCACTAGAAGGACTTCGTTTCATTGATGCCAGCCATCCCTACATACGTGTATGTCATCATATCAATTCACAGAACGAATTCTAACATAGAACAGTATGTGGGTCGTTGGTCTTCGACATTGGATGGCACGAGAAAAGATGGGTCATTTCCAGGTACACTCTCTCGCTAAATCATCTGTGATTTTCTAACGAAGCTTTCTCAGGCATTTATCTCGATGTCGCCTTCAACGGAAGTAGCACTATCTTAATATCACTCCATAACAAAGATCAACAAGGTCATGCTAAAAGGACAGATGCTCGAAACAAAACAACAGCGTCTGGATTTCCAGCATTATTAGACAATACAAGCGCGGAACCTATCTCTCTGCTTGCTCAAGTCGATGATGAGGAATACGTTGTACTTCCAAACGCAACATCACTTGTGGCTATACGAACGAAAGATCTCGATCCCCAATTACCCCACATTATTCGCATCATTGCACCAATGATCGGTAGGGATATAACAGAGACCTTTCAATTTCTAGGGGTCTGGATAGATGAGAATGGACAACTGATTCCAGTTCAAAATCCAATGTCGACCACAAATCTACCATTTGCTGAAAGAGATGTAGAGAATGAGGAATTGGGACTGTCTATGAATGCCGTGGACGATGGCTTAGCAGAAAATGCTTCTCGGCGCAAGATGTTGGAGATCTTGACTGATCTACCTGGTTCTATGACAGGCCTAGACAGAAGAAAGCACCAGGTAGCATCTAATGTCGCAAATGGAATATTGGGAGGAGTTATGGGGTGGGAATACCTCACTGGTGAGATGTTTGGTAGCGATCATGTAACTGTTGGGATGGATGGGATGTGCCTACTACAAGACTGTATCGGCGGCAGGGGAAGTCCAGCAGGATTGGCAGACGTCTTCTTCCAAAGGTACGTCTGGTGGTTTTCCTGAGTTTTTTGGTTGTCCGTTTTTTTGGGGCCCTCTAATGCTTGCAGTGGACCACTTGGCTCTGGGCAATATGCGCAACCATGGCTCTTCCAATCCTATGTCCCGGATGTAATGGTAATCGTTTCACTTTCCACTTCAAATATAAGCAGCTAATATGTTCAGATTCTCAATATCGGCAATGCTGACTGGGATTCGTTCCGAATATACAATGAAGATTACAATATGACGACATGGGAATTGAGTGTGATTTTCGAGGAAACCTACGTTTCGTTAATTAAAGCAATTAGAACATTGGCATATCCCAAATATTCCGGAACTATGGCCGAAGTATCACAATACGATTATCCACAACACCGAGCAGTTGATATCCCGATATTTGTAATGAGACCCTTTCGCGGGCAACTTGAACAAGCGACGTATTCTGTAGTGGATCGATTACAATTTGAGGGAGACAAATCAGTTTTCTGGCTTGATACTTCAGGCTGGCTCAATACCGATATTAATTTTGAGGGACGATCAGAAGACCATGACTTTTTCCTCGACGGTAAGAACATTCTCCGTTGTCTAAGCCGCCAACTAACAATGAACAGAGGGGAGTCCACGGAAAGAATGGCGCCTCACGGAGAGGGGAAACCAACGCGTTGCGATTCAGTTGCATATGCATGTATGCAGATATCTTGCACAAGATGCTGATAAGTGTGCATTTTTAGCACCAGAAGCATATCAAGGTGGCAATTTGGATCCGGTTGCGATGCATTTCGATGAATACATAAGGGATGAAAAAGAGAGAAGGCTGAAAAAGCTATTCTGGGTTTCCCCAGAGGATGAAGGAAGACTCCAAGTCAAATAAATACAATGATGAAGATATGAAAAATGAAGAGCTTTAAAAATTGTCATCAATACCTAATTTCTATCTGGTAGTTAGTTTTCAATGAATATGTTTAGCTTGAGGTTTTGTTGGAACACGTGAATGTCATGTGACACCATGGTAACCTTCGTTGTATATAATGTTATATCTAATGTGATACTCATTGATGATAGTATTAATGATGTTATTCATTCAGATAGTACACTTAGAGAATAGTTTTCTTCTTTTGTATAAAGGGAGATAAGATAGATTAATACTAACCCTTTTACTCATACATTTTGTGTATACACCTTTGAAAGTCTGTCCAACAGGTTTAGGTGAAGAAGGTTGTACTGTCCACAACCGGCGATCTACCTCTATGAAGGCCAATACTATGGTGATTAATAGAGCATATATATCAGAAAACCCTCCATCATTTTATTATATGGGCACGAGTATTGAAGCTGTTCGAAAGTTCAAAAATTACATGCCCAAGATAGCACTCATTCCAGCAAGGTTGAGATAAAATGCTCTGATACCGCCTCAATCGAAAATGGCTTGCTTTTCTACTATCTGAATCTCAAGATAGATTGCATGCCATCAGAACTGAAAGGATATTGTAGCCAGAGACTTCATGGATTTCAAGTTGGTCTTGCCGAATGATAAGTATGTCATTTGACGGCCACGCTGCTAGGGATGAATATTGCAGGTGCGACTTTAGTGGGTTGATATATAATCTAAATCCATGTTATTCATAATTCTACACCTCTTCAACACCTGAAAGAATGGTTCCTTTAACGCAAGCGAGCTTTCAGTTTAAAATCTTCGGAAAGATTCCGAAAAGCCTGGATTTAGTCATAGACCTGGGATCAGCGATTCTGTCGAAAAGGGTAACACTTCTGGTGTAGATCTGCGCCCAGGTATTTTTGAAATTCCTAAGATGTGAGAAGTTAAAGTTTGCAGGCTTCGAATACTTTTGGAGACTTGGGTTGAATGCAATATTGCCCATTTAGGACTGGTCAAGTCGATACAGATGGTAGATTGAGTTAAGTTGTCTTCCATAGGTGCCGACACTGTAGGTTGTTACTTACCGGAGACCACTCGTACCCTCAAACTCTGTTCATATCCGAACAAGTGTCAATCTGCAAACCAAAAGGGGCATTTTTCGCGTAATAAGTATTCGTAGATCTACTACTTTTATCTTTTCCAATACCAAAGCAATTCAATTTTTATTATGATGATCTAAAAATCCTTAGCGGCTTATAGAACCAAATATAGCGGATCGGCGTCTACGTCAAAAGCTTAAATTGAGTTCCAGACTAGCAACTGACAGATTAACGACCAAGGAACAAATCGCACTATATTCGACTTGGCGTCTTACTTGATTTTATAGGTCGTATGCACTAGAGTTGCAAACGCTACATATATGACTAATGTCTTTCTGGAAAACAACATCAATCCTACCTTTTAAGGGATTTGGATGATCATTGTAGTCGCTGGAAGTATCTTGGATTGTATCTAGGATGCCTTGATTTGATGGAGAATGAATGGGAATGTATAGGGTATAAAGAAGCGATTAGTATTATGAAAACCGGATTGTGATCAGATAGATCCGCTTAAAATGAGGAAGATTGATGGCCCAAAGGCTAGAGTTTATTGAGGGCCGCTAGTGAAGGGGTTATGAAAAATGAAGACCATAGTTTTTGCCGAGGAGTATGAGCTATAATGGTAAAGGGCAACGACTTATATTCCTTAATTATTGAGGTTTGCCGGAACAAAGGGAGTAATGGTTAGTAAAAGTTGGCAGGCTTCAAGGTTATCATGACACTGTCGTTGCAGAGTCATACCAAATCTGGTAGTTCCTCGTAGACTAGATTATAATGATTCAACCGTCGATAGTACCCAGAGTCAATAACCAAGGTCCCCAGTAAGTAGTATGCAGACAAACCAGACTTGGAAATTTCGCACGCAATTCGAGGAAACTATTATTCATGGTATGTTGAGAGGGGTATGCAGATGGCACATCAAGATATCGTGACGTCAATATTAAAGACAATAGAAGGTTAGGAATTGAGTGAGAAAACGAACTATGAAGTGTAAACTTTCCAAATAGATGACTTCTAACCTGTTCGATTACCCAGAATTATTGGGGCACCTGGTCTGATTTTGTGGTGGTACCTGACTACATCTTACATGTGATATATAAAGAGGTGTTCCACAGATTTCGTGTTCAATTCACACTTCGACGTGTAAGTTTATCAAATATATACAATTTGTGATCAGAACGTAGCTAGACAATGGAGATTATTGGCTCTAAGCCATCTAATGTGATTCCATCTGTCGATCAGTTGGTTCGCCTCAAAATCATGTGTGAACAATCTGATTAGACGAGGTGACGAAGTGGATGACTTCGCTACTCCTTGCTTTCCTTGTATTTCGGATGTTACCATGAGGGTTAAGTTCAAATTTTGAGTTCAAATTGATATGCTTTAAGCGTCTACACAAGTGACAAATTTAGTCCATGACATTGAGTTTCCTCTTCATGACATGGGGTTTTTGCTATGCTTTTGACTGTTACTAATAGTGATTTTTGAAGTCACCACATTCTATGATGTATTCAACAAGTACTCAAGCCAAGTGACCTACAACTAACATGATCGTCAACTTGGAGCTCTCCAAAAATGTAATTCCCTCAAAATCGTCGAAATTGAACTCAGACTAATCTTTAGATACAATTGTAGCGCATATACCCTAGATCATATCGAGTTGCTCGAGTTGCTCTGGCTACAATGAAAGAGAAAGTTGGCTTCGATTCATGGAAATCGTCATAGGCTGTGTCGATGTTGATTCTGCTTATATAACCTTCGTCGATTGTTCCTATATAAGTGCTACTTGTTCCCATCTATTTTCATTTTTATTAACTCCACACAGGCTATTTCACTCAATTTTCCATCTTGTATTTTCCCTATCACCTCACACGGTTATCAATCAAAATCAGATACATGTAATTGTCAAGTTCCATCCTTCACTTGCTCCCCATGAACTTGCATGAAGCTAACCTTTATGATTCATTTCTTCTTTAGATCAAGTCGCTCTCGAGTCTCAACCATGGTTTCAGTCAAGAAAGTAGTCATGGCTATCGCAGGCATCAGCGTATCAGCCGCTCTTGCCAGCAGCACATTCCCAATCAACACAATACAATTCATATCTTTCGATGATACAGACAGAGTCATCACCTTTACCTCCCATCCTCAGTGTGAGGATCTTCCGGACATTCACCACAAAGGTGGAGAGAATTTCACTATGGAAATTCCTCTTAATTGGGGAGGTACCGTAATGGCTAGAATGTATGATGCTGTGGTCCCTATCCACCGTGTTCAAGCCGAATTTCAATGGCAAGGGTTCGAAGGCAAGACCCACTACGACGCCTCTGCAATCACCAACCATACCGATAACTCTGGTATCCGTTTCATTTACCCAGCTGGTCAAGGCCATGTCCACGAGGCACGAAGTGGATGCACAGTTTATCCTTGCAACACTGCTTATCTTCAGGCTAATGACGAGCAAACCAAGGTCACCTACCAAACTGATATGGTTATCGAGATTGGTACCCTTTACTAGGGTAAGTTCCCAGCCGAATCTCATCACATATGACCCTCACTAACTTATTGTAGGCTTCCGATCGAATATGGCTTCCGCGGGCGTTTTCGTCTCGGCTAGCTTCAGTCTCGACATCATTTGATCGCCGATTTCGGTAAATCGTAAGCAAACTGCCATTTCGGGTGACTCCTTCAGTGTCAATGGGCAAGAGTCTTGGGGTTTTGAAGCTCGAGGGTATACCCTGAGATCTGATCTAGACGGAATTCGGTGGTGGTCTTGGAATTTGTTGGGCTATCTCGTGGTTAATTTCGAACATGTATGATTATCAAATGTGCTGCCTATAAAAGATGCACATGTAGGAGAAATTACATCACACATCAAACGTATATAAAAAATGATGAATTACAAATGATTAGTAAAGACGTCTGAATCAAGAACTAACAAGCCCATATACTCGAAGTCTCATCTAGAGGAATAGGAAATTTTGATATTTTTGTTCTTGATGGCCCACCAGAGTATGTGGTCAAGAAGAACGGTCATACCCTAGCCAATTTTTCTTTCCTAGATGCTTTCGGCCACGACCAAAGGGGCCACGAAATGAGCACAAGTGGGAGACATAATAAGATGCCAGTACCTTGGCCTCTACCAAGAATCATGATGGTATAGTTTCAATTTGTCGAACCACAAAGCCTGGCAGAAAGGCGGGCTGCAAGAAATTTTCATGCGAATTTTCCCAAAGGCATTCTGATGATGAGGAAAACAATATGGACCGAAGATATCACTATGATTTCTGAACTTTGGCCAAATACTCTGGAAATGCGTCACTTGATCGCTAGTGTCCAAAAATTTGTCGTTAATTGATCATAGAAATTCATCGATCCTTTGAAATCACCTTGAAAGGCATGGGTTAAGTCCAGTCACTGCTGCACTCGATTCTCTATCCTTTCGGTCTCAAGATCATTTGGATGGGCTCTTAAGAGGATCAGCTGGAGTCCGTGACTTTGTGGTCATGGCTTCGCTTGAGCAATGATTAAAAAACTGGCACTATATGCCAAACTTCGCAATGTTTGGATCTCACGCGCGACCTAATACACCCATGAGAAATTTCACATATACTTAATACCTGTCACGTTGTGTTGCCTCCCTTAAGTCTCGACTTTGCCATGATCTTGATCAACCTCACATGTTTGCTACCTTCCTCGCGGTCAAAAAGATTCATCATGGGTATACCGTCTACACGCAAACACTACGCTGGCCGGAGGCGTCTTCACTCCCGTGTGTTCTGTAGAGGCTCTAGATTCTTCGATCCGATCACTAACAATGTCAAATGTGATTGGGCACATCAAAAATGCTTTCCTCTCGTGTCGATGCCTCTACTTATTACCCTTTTCGCCCTGTCTCATATCTTCTGGCGTTTGATGTTATTGATATCAAGATGGTTGAAGATGTATGACAGATGTATGTTATCATGTATCATTAAGGGATAGAATAATATAATACGTATAAAAATATTGGCTGAAGACTGTAGTGGAGTCGTTTCTACAAACACTTGACAGACATTGAACGTTCGGAATATTTCCCCATTTTTACTGATACCAACGATCAGCCAGAAATGGCAAGTACATCCATATAGTTTCCGAGATTCTTCCGGTCCATGATTCTGGGGATTAGTCAGTAATGAGGACTTAACACTGGAGAAGTTGAAGCTCGATTTAATATTAAAATCTGTTCTAGGCATAGGGGTTTTCGACGTTTCTGACGGTAATCAAATTGAGCACTGTACTCGTAATACTTTCCACTCACGTGCCACTTATTCCTATCTTCCAAGGTTGCAACGTTCATATATCAAACCGATAGAGTTCCACTACAGACACTGATAACCTTGACAAAGTTGGAGTGAGTGACTGATTGTTGCTCGCCGATATGCAAGCTTTATCTCGGTACTCCACCAGTGCTGTTCTAGATCCACTCAAGTTTCTGATACGTTATGAACTCGATATTCCAAATAGCACAAGTTATCTTTCTGCATTAATAAACAAATTGTGAATAGAATTCCTACTTCGTACGCTCTTAACGTATATCTAGGGGCTTTTTTATATATAGAAAAGGCAACCTTTAATTATGTCAATCACGGACTATTGAATGATCCATACACGCGCTAAAATCGGCTCGTTTTCAAGAGGCTGGAGTGTGGCTGAAATGACCAAAATGGCTAGCATTGATGGATGTAAGCGAGTTGGGGTGAGAAATTGGAGAGAAACTGGTGATGATGTAGTTGCGGCTAGAGCTTCCCTCGGCTTTATAATGACAAAATTTGCTTCTGTTCTCTTCTGCTGGAAATACTACAAAAAATCAGTCGATTCATTCATTCCTTGACTTTAAAGGCGATTTTATAATCCAATGATACAGATCTACAGACTCAATTTCATTTGTTTACTTCCATTATTCTGCATGTCAAGGTAGCTACCTACCTAACCTCCATCCTCCAAATACCAGTTCGTTCTAGACCTTGGCTCACAACTCGACCTGAGCACGCGACCTCCTATAAGACCCCTCAACCAACAAGATTGATAAGAATCAAACCACTTCTGTGCTATCCTCGAATACATCAGCACGATAGCCATTTGAGATATTAATCATCATGAAAAGGGCGAGATTTCCCAGCGGGATGGAGCGTCGAAAGTCCTCTACTCCTCACTACCATACCTTCCCCACCCCACCACCCAAGTCTCGCGGCAGACCTCAAGTCGCATCAACCTTATCATCTGGTGGCGATGGATCTGCGAATTCGATTTCAAATGAAGGGGAGCCCGAAGATGAACAACACCAATCTCCTCTTCCAATAAGACAACTCGCTGTATTGGCAGTCATCGCGCTCGCCGAACAAACCGCCTTGAATTCGATATCTCCATATCTACCCCAAATGACGTCGAAATTTCCAGAAGTTGATCCAAGTCAAATAGGGTTATACGTCGGAACCATAGCGTCGAGTTTTGCGTTCGCGCAATTTACAACGAATTTTTTCTGGGGCTGGTTATCTGATAGGATAGGGAGGAAGCCGGTGGTAATGCTTGGGACGCTTTTGACATCAGCATGTTTTGTTGCTTTTGGATTCTGCAGGACGTTATGGCAGGCAGTATTGGTACAAGCGCTCATGGGTATGGTCAACGGAAATCAGGGTGTCATAAGTACATGTTTGGGAGAGATTACAGACCGCAGTAATCAGAGTAAGGCATTTGTCTATCTGCCAGTCATTTATGGAATCGGTGGCATAACAGGACCGGCTTTGGGTGGATTGTTAATCTTCGAAGAGAATCCGTTTAACAAGGGGCACCCAAATCCCTATCCATATTTACTACCGAATTTGTTTGCGGCATCAATATTACTTCTCGACTTGTTGTTGACTGGCTTTTTCTTGGAAGAAAGTCTAGCAGAGGCAAAGAATCTCCCACCTTTGAAGCACCGAATGAAGAGCCTCTTTACGTGGATGTGGCAATTCACAGGAGGAGCTCGACATCCAACCTATACAAGAACCCCTTCTCAGCGTGCACTGCTTCATGACTCTGATGAATCGGACGAAGAAGATTCTGAAGCCGAATCACTTCTCTCAATGGGCGACTTCTTCCATTCATCAAACGAAGCTCATTTGTCCTACAAGGAAGTCCTAAATCGCGATACTGTAATTCTTCTTGGTACTTATCTTATTTTTCAACTCTCCAATATTTCCTTCAACTCTCTTTATCCTATCTTCGCATCGGCTCCCGAGCATGCTGGACGAGCGCTGTCTCCTTCTGAAATTGGTCTTTCACTCTCTTTTGCAGGAATAGTTACAATTGTCTTCCAGATTGGCATTTTTGGTAAACTCAAAGAAAAGATGGGAAATAAAGCAACTTATAGATCAGGATTGTTCCTCTTCTTCATTTCCATGATGCTCATGCCATGGATTGGGTACAAAGATTCTCCTCCACCTTTCGGTATCGGAAATGGAAAATTATGGCTATGGCTTGAGCTTGGGTTCGTCTTGTTATTAAAGACAGTAGCTGCCGTGGGAGGTCTAACAAGTGCACTGTTACTTATTACAAATTCTGCTCCCAATCATGGTGTTCTTGGTACATTGAATGGCTTGGCACAAACTCTAAGTGCAGCGGGAAGAGCAGCGGGCCCTTTCTTGAGTGGAGGATTATTTACTTTAGGAACAAAGATTAAGAATGGGGGATTTCTCACATGGGGGGTTTTTAGTGGGATTGCCTTGGTGGGATTCGTGTTCAGCTGGGGAATCCGAGGAAAAGATTTGGAGAGCGGGGACTGGAGTGATGAGAGTAGTGATGATGAGAGCGAGAGTGGAAGTGATGGGGATATAGAGTCTGGGCAATCATCGTGATGACTTTGAGAAATTCATCGATTGGATGCTTGGTATTATATTGTAACAAATACTTTATACTTTGCGTTGTTCGCGTTGATGGGAATGGGATGTGTGTTTTTTATTTTGGGATAGGGTAATCATTGAGCGGTAAAGGAGTCTAGGCGCATAGAGGGAAAAGGGAGGATAGCGAGATTAGACTTTTGCATAGAGAAGTGAAACATACATGAGCAGCATGCGCATACATATTGGATTTAGAAGCTTTTGTAGCTAATACAATTTATCTCACCAAGCATTTCCATGATTTATAATATCAACCCATCGTAAAGTTTCGTGCACGGGCCAATTTATCCAATATCAAAAAACACCTACCTCACATCCAGCCCATCTCACAAAACGCGATGTTGAAATTAATTCGAATTCCACCAATTACCATGGAAACTTTTTTAACTTTTAATTCATCATGGCTTTCCTCGCTCTCCTAATCTCTATCCTCATCCTTCTCGTTTCTATACCTCTCTTCTATATCTGTCCAAAATGGTGGGGGGACGGGCTCGAGCGAGTGCGTTTCAGACGGAATTCAATCAATGCGCTATCAATATCAAGTCTCCCCTCGAACTTCTCCATGCTCTCAACTCCAGTGCTCAAAATATCTCTTTCAAGACCTATTTCTACAATGGCATTTTTCCTGAATCATTTGAAATCACACACCCTAATTACCTTACCCATTCCTGAAAAGAAGTTCACAGGGAAAACTATTATTGTTACGGGGAGTAACAGTGGATTGGGACTGGAGGCTGCGAGGTGGTTTGTATGTATTTGTTTGGATCTCTATAAAACCGTGTGCATATCATGTGGATTCTATGAATACTAATGATATCAAAGGTCCGTCTCGATGCTCAAAAAGTCATCCTCGCCGTGCGCTCCCTCTCAAAAGGTGAAGCTGCACGGCAGTCCATCATAGACAGTACCTCCTGCTCTCCAGATATCCTCGAAGTATGGAATCTCGATCTGTGTTCTCAATGTTCTGTTAAGGAATTCGCGCATCGAGCGAATGCGCTCCCGAGACTTGATATCTTGGTTTCGAATGCGGGAATCTATGTTTTTGATTTCAAAACCGTAGAGGGAAATGAAGAGTCGATTTGTGTAAATGTGATTAACACTTTCTTGTTGGCGTTGCTTTTATTGCCGAAACTGAGGGAGACGAGTATAACTTGTGATACGAAGGGGGTCATGACCTTCACGGGAAGTTTCGTGCATCATCTCACCACATTCCCGGAACGGCGAGCAGGGAATGTGTTTGAAGAATTGCGAGTGCAAGAAAGAGCGGATATGAGAGATCGATATAATGTGAGTAAACTGATCTCTCTGCTATTTTCCCGGGAACTCGCGTTTGCGCTTCGCGAATCGGAGACCCGCGGGATGGGAGGACATGTGGTTGTGAATATTGTTAATCCGGGGTTGGTGGATACGAAAATTATGAGACATGCGACGGGAGCGACGAAACATTTGGTTAGGGGGGCGATGAAGCTGATGGCAAGGAGTGTGGAGGAGGGGAGTAGGACGTTGGTACATGCTGCTGGTGGCGAGGAGGAAACGAATGGGATGTATTTGGATGATTGTAAAATTGGGAAGTTGGTACCCCTTTATCTTGGTGTCTTTGTTTTTATGATACGGATATTGTGAAGTTTGAGACTAATGAGAAAACAGGGTATCACCATGGACAATATCACTCGATGGGGTAGCGACACAAAAAGATATTTGGTTGGAGTTATCGCAGGAGTTGGAGAAAATAGAACCGGGGATTATGGGGGATGTATGAGAGGTTCAAATCGAAATTAATACTGCTTTTTATTCTCATTTTCGGTACAATTGCGTTGAGATTTTGGCCATAAATTAACATAAATACAGAGGTGACCTCGCCTGGCGAGGTTATCTCTTTTTTGACGAACGCAGTTTTGATATTTTGCGAGTTTTATCAGATATGCAACAAAACTCCTGAAGCGCGATTTGATTGATCAATGGGAACCAGACAATAGTGAGCAGGTTTTGTCCGCTCATCAATGATGCTCTACTCAAAATTCAAAAACTGAAAATTGGAGCATAGCAAATGGGAAACAGATAGCCGTACCTCCTTCAACATTAGATATCACCAGAGCAAGGTTATCCCAGAAGATCCTGATAAGTTGAGTTCGTTTGAATATAATGGGAATTGCTGGTTCGTTATATATAGATCCTTTCTCACGCCACACTTAATCACAAGCCAATCTCTCACCCTGGGTATTTCCATTCATTCAATCATACGAAGAGCCATCCGGTTCGCTCTCAAAGCCAAGTTCATATCATCGTCCAGCCCAAGACTATCATCCCGTTCCTTCGCAACACAAACAGTAAAAGTTCAACAAGGCGAAATCTCCATACTCCCCTCTTTTCCTCTCAAACCCTTTGATCTCCGGGCTCGTAGTCCCCCACTTCACATTCGATGACGCCGTCGCCTCCATCTCATACAGCTGCAAAAGAGAACCCTCCATCTCAGCCGACTCACGATGCCCAACCAATCTCATTTCCCGCGGTATATCCTCCGCCATCAACTCCGTCGTCTCGTGATATTCACCTTGCGGTAACTCTGCAACCCCACAATGTGTATCAATTGGGTTTCGTTCCGGTTTCTTTGGGGGTCTGAAAACATAGCCATGTCGTCTGTATCTTCACAGAAGTAGGCCGCAGGGTATGCATACGATGGCTGTTACTACTAGAATTACTATGCGAGTGATGTGGGTAGATGAAGCTGAGGGTGCTGTATTGGTATTTGCAGACGAGCTGGTACTAGTTGCCCTACCGGTAGGCTCTGCGAATGTCATCAATTCCGTGGTTGATCCATAGTTTATTTCAATGACTGTTGGAGATGCATCGTCATCTTGTGCTGTTTCAATCTTCAGTTAGTGACAGACTTCATAATATTTTTCAGATCGAAGACAAAGCGACTTACCAAAAACGCAGAAAGTAGCCATATCAACGCCAGAAAAAGTGATATAATATTCCCGAAATGAAAGAGAGCTTAATCAATCCAAGAGTAAGAAAAGAGGCGGAAAAGCTTAAGTTCACTATTTGAGACGTGGGGTGCCTTGCTGCGCCTCATCGTGCCGTAGATACATATATCCGTAGCATTCTCTGTAGCTCTTGTTTCAAATATTGTGATAAGTGATGCTGACAGGGGAAATCAATTGGAGAATTGACTAGATACAATGATTGTGGGGCTGGACCTGCCAATCATCATAGTAGCGATATCATCAAACTGTTGGTATCATATCACTCGTCAGCGCTGAGATTGCTGGATTGGAAAGGATTTGGATAGCCATTGAGGCGGCCAAGCAGATTTCTAGAGTTCTTTCCTGCTTTCCTATTTCCCAATTTTCCATTCGCTCGGCTCTTGATGCGATGGCTTTCTTGGTTGCACATATCGTCTTCCTCGCTTCCAACTCGCGAAAGACTTGTCAGTCTAGCCATGCACGTCGTTCCACAGACTTGGCATCTCTATAGATTAATTGACGTCAGCATCTGAAGGCTGTATGCTCATTATTCGTTTGGCTGATTGAAGTGACAGAAACGAAATGATATAAGAGCTATAGGGTTAGCTAATCGGAGTTTGGATACATTCCAAGAACGATTTTTACACGCTTGGTGAAGTATCTGACTAACTCAGAGCAACATATATGTTCCATGTTCGAGTAAATATCACTAAAGAGAACACCATGACTACCACGTATTTGAATATCCTTTAAACGACAAGCACGTCGAGATAGATAGGTCGATTTGATGTATTACAGTATTGCTAATCAATGTTTGTCATAGATCTCGAAATAGGTGGAATCAGCAATGAAATTGAGCAACGAACTGATAGTTATAGCAACAACATACACACTTTGAGATAGTACAGGATTGAGACACACGCTACCGTAGATGCTTAGGGCACCCAGAATCCCAGCCAGATAATTTGAGCTCGTGTTGACGATTTGTTAAATGAGGTAATCAGATGCTCTTGAAATCATTGTATTTCATCAAATGAAGCCTTGATCTCGGGATATCTTGAGACAATTATCACTGAACCAACAATCCTCACTCAAGAGGATATGGTAGTTGCTTCTGCCATGGTACTTATTTTCCACGTTGAAATGAAGATACAATGATATTGATTTTTGACCTAAACCTGAAATTCTCCGTTGAAAGTAAGTGTGTAGCCAACAACACTGAAGGTGGCGTTACAAATGAATAGCCTGCCTGCTAACAAACTAAGAACTGTGAAAAGAAATAAACCGTAGAGCTTGATCACTACCAACGAAAGCAGGGAATCGAGGTGAAAGGTCGCAAGGAAAATTGCACGCGTTCATTTGTTGTAAATACCTGTCAAGTCAACGGTTTATTGCTCTTTGAAGACTTTCGCTATGTAACGACGTCTCTGTGCATCACTCAGCTCGAGCTAGATGCATTATCACAGAGCTAGGAACACGCACACTGAGGTCTTATGTAGGTGGCAACATAAAAGCTGTGGCAGGCCGAGAATATTTTGTCAAACTTATGACATAAATTGGCTGTTCGACTCCAGTTCTATGTCCTTTCGTAGACCTTCCCTTGAAGTTAACAGGCCGGCACTCATTGAATGCATTCCATTTGAAGGTATGTACTAAGGCATATTCGCGAAGCATGGTCTTATTTTCCTGTGCCTTTGACGATGCTAATTGTAAGACGCGTTTGGCCTTCCTCTTCATGGTGAGTTCTAATGACTTGTTTTTTTTGTTTTTTTTGACTTGGTTTTGTCTGTCAAAGTGGCTTGTATGGAGGCTGGTAAAAACACGTGATGCAAATTCACAACCTTACTCGCCACAGTTGCCTGAAATATCTGTTCTCGACTAAACTCACTTCATTAGACGTCAACACACGAGGTATAGCTTCAATCGATCATGCTTATGTACATTATATACATATATGCATAATCAGGTCATCGAGAGAGAGGTCAAAAGACCTATTGTCCACATCTCAAATCTACCTCTTTGCTGGTCTCACCATCCATATGAACCCTTCTCCTTTCCGATCGCCGAATCTTTCTGGTATTTTTGTTTCACAATGTTTAACATATTCGAATCCCTCGGATTCATATAGTGGTCGACCAGCTACAGATGATTCTACTATGGCCTGAATTGAACTCGCGTTAGCTATAGTTGTCAATGAAGGCGGGGTGCAATCAATGCTCAGATCGACAGATTCTACATACCGCATATCCAAGTTCATCAGCGATTGCAGTTCCCCATTTGACTAAAAGACGACCTGCTCCCCGACGTTGATATGCAGGGTCAACAGCAAGGATATCCAATGCTATAATCATGGGTCAGCAAAAAACAGATAGCGACTCAAGACTCTTACAAACTAAATGGCCTTCGTATTCCTTGATGGCCGCGCGACGAGTGATCAAGAAGTCTCGGTTCAAATGCTGAGCCCACTCCTTCTCCTCCGCAGTTTCCCAATAATCGCCATCCAAATCTTTTTCGGGTGGGATCACACCTTTCCAAATGTTCCATTTGGCTTTTGCAATTATAGCGCCTGTGTCGGTATCCACGACTTTAAGAAATTTCGTGTGGGGATCGTTGTTTTTGATATCCCGAAAGCGGTTTCCACCACTAATTCGACCAGCCTCAGTATCATGATTTGGATAAACTGCCTCAATCATGGGGTGTCTATTTCCGAACGCCTGGCAAAAGATCTCAAAGATCCGATGCATATCATCATCATTACATTTCTCAACTTTGAGAACCATTGTGACGCTATGAAGAGTTTCTATTGATGTCTGATTCGGAAAATACTTGGTTGACTTGCGCACGTCTCCTCTCGAGTTTCGACTCATATATGCCAAGATTGATAAGATGACAAAGCGTGTCAAGAGTGGAGGGGCGTATTACTCCGTAGTCCACCGGATATCGGAATCGGATATACCCTTAATACAGGCTTACGCATATGCATATGCATAGTGGTTTATCCCCACTATGACAGTGATAGAATGTTTAACCGAGCAAACCACCTAACAAGTATCTCCTGATATATATCATGGCTCAGAATAACTACTCTCTTCCTTCGGGGCATATTCGCAAACGGAAAACTCTCTCTCCTGGAGCAGACATAACCTATTCTTTGGTGATTCATCCTCAAAAGGAGAGCTCTCGTTAGCTATGAAGGCATGATTCGTTCGCGTTCTTACCCTTTTTGCCGTCACTATGAAAATCTCATCAGTACATTTGCTTTGGTCCTTTGGTGCGTTGCTTTTTAGCTTGCGTTGGCCTGTCCGTCCTTGCGGCCTTTCTCTGAGTTCGTTAGGGAAAGTCTTGGTGATTTCCTACCAAGCAGACTATGAGGGATGACAACCCCAAACTTTGAATACACACAGCCATCTGGTCTTACACAATACGCATCGCGAGCCACTTGCGGAATTAGAGATGGCTCGAATGCAGTGAACGTGTCATCTATTGGTATACTAGATCATTCCGCAAAGACATTCGCATCATTTACTTTGAGGTGAGATGATGAGCGTTACTGAATTCTTCGGTTGAGATCCAAAGTTTTTGTAAGCAATTCTTCGTTATTATCATGAGATAAAATTATTTTTGCTCAGTCGTTATCTCCAGTGATTGGTTCTTGCTTGATCTCGATAAACCAGAGAATGGTGAATGCTGCCAGTGTTCGTTGACTTAAAGCCGCATTCACACTCAACAAGTTGGATGAGTGAATTATGAAAAAATAGTTGACCGCTTGTTTTTTGTTTCTTTCTTCGATCTATCAGTATATAATCAGCTTAATAAATCCACAATTTCCTTTTTGACAAAATCTTGGATATCAGAGGCGTCAATATGCCTCGCAAATACATCGTTTTACCAGCAGCATTAACAGTACTTCTCACTTTACTTACGGCGATGTTCATCGACATAGGTAAAGAGGAGAGCTTTCTATTCGACTTCCCCATCATTTCCCTTGATACTACGAAGTTGAAGGATGATATTTTTCAGAGCAATAACTACACTCTACCCATCACCGATGTATTGAATCTATATTTCCGAACTCACTGCGAGGGAGATTATGTTTCCACACGTAATATAAGCCCTAGGTTGAAGAATGTATCCTGCTCCGAACCTTCATCCGATGGTATGTTCCATTCGTCTACAAATACCACCGATTGAAGGAAGTTTCTAACATCCTCAAGTCAAGTTTCTTCCTGCCAATATTATCCATCTCCAACTCATCAAACCCAACTCTTCGGTCCAAATACAACTTCCAGACAACAACTTTGGGCATCAACTTGGCGAAATCCAGAATGCGTTCAAAAAACCATATCATGCACAACTTCATGCGGCATTCGCCATATATGCTACAGCATTCTGTCTAGAAGGCATTGTGTTGATCATAGCTTTTTTATCATTCCTGGGATTCGATGTTGCTTGGATTTTCGGAGGGTTATCTGTCGTATGTGTTATGCCTTCTCCTTTTCCTCGGCTTGAGTCACCAATCTTGGGCTAGAGTTCACGTTATGCCGCAGTACTGTATACAGAGGGACAACACTAACAGATAAAATAGTTAACGACAACCTTCATTTTGATCGGAAACAGTATCACGACAGCCTTTCAATACCATACAGTTACGACTATCAACCAATATGGTGAAGATGTTGGGATTTTGGGGTATCGTGGAACAGGGTTGCTGGTATTGATTTGGTTTGCCTTTGGAATGGCTTCTGTTGCCTCAGCTACTTGGGCATGGGGGGCGTGGATGATCAGAAGGCCTGATGACAGTAGTGAGGTTTCGGATGATGGGGGTGTATACATGAATTGCAGCAGAAATCCAGCGGAAGTTGGAATCGGCGAACCAATGATGCTGGCTATGAGAGGAAGGAAAGCCGTAAATGTATGTGAGGAAGGAATAGGTATGGAGCATGGGATTGATTATGTTAGAGAGAGCCAGATTGGGCTTGCTCTATAAACTGGGGGTTTGAACTTCAGCGGGAGACATATATACATCTTATCCGGACTGTATCTCGATATAAGTCAGAGATGAGTAAGGAAGCCTTATAGTAATATAGTTGCGAAACATTATCGTCCATACAGTTCAGAGAAGATATAATACACGCAAATCTCTCAAGTGTCAAAAATGGCTCGGTTGTGCTCTTGGCGCTCTCTTCAATTCGATTTGAATCTTCGCCTGCTCGGCGTCAAGAATTGTGATCGTGAAATGTCGCATCGAGGCTTCACTTCACTATTACTTTTACATCCCTTGATCTATTGACCGATGCAGATGTTAACTCGTTACCACAAACCGATTTCAGAAGATACAGTGAAAGATCATGGTTCAAAAATGTTGTATGAAAACAGAAAAACATGGAGTGATCTACCAAGAGTCTAGCCAACTTATACTCTGTACTCCTTGCGCGCAACTCATGAATCACTCTCTCCTAATGCCTGAAACCTAAGCTTCTCTAGCCATGCATTGTTATGGAGAGATACCATAGCATACCATGATACGCCTATCAAGATAGCCTCTCTCTTAAGCAAGGCTACTCACCATTTATCTGGATTATAAGAAGCTCTTATATAATCTCATTCATACTACTTTCAACATAAAGAATGTGTCATCGTCGCTCATTGAAATCTGGACATAGTAAAATGACATCGCTGACATGGCAAAAAGAATTCCAAACGTTGCAAGGGTAGAGAATCCAAGCATCAACCAAGACCTATACACTGGGATATACAGCTCATCAGTGCAGCGAAACTGACCTCCAAGGCCTATCAAAGCGGATACGAAAACGGCGTTCGTAATTATATGTAAGATAGCTTGAAATGATGCCTGAGTAACTGAAATTAGTATAAATATTAGAGAGAAGAAAGACATATCTACACACCATATACATCTACAGTTTCACATCTAATTCATATTCCACTTTGTTCGAAGGGCTACCAATTTTTAAAGTTTCAAGACCCACCCAGAAAACCGTGGTGTCAAATATACACACGAGGATGTAAAGAACAAAGATTCTGGTGATGTTCACGTACAGGCATCTCTTTGGATAAAACTCCATAAAGGTTAGTAGAGTATGAGTTTCGATCAATCCAGAAACTTACCAAGCCATTCAAGATGCTGCGAAACACTCACCGGTAAGTCATATCCAAAATCTTTGAGGATCATCATTCCTTCGTCTGTATGGATGATCAGTATATACATTTGCACTAGAACTGTTCTGAGACTTACCATAGTCTAAACAAATCTTCTCAATTACAAGATTCTGGGTATCTGAATTATGATAATTCCTTTTACAGACATGTGCGAAAATAAAAGTCATACTGATCAAAAGCGGATATTGGAGAGCCCGCAACTAGTTTGAAATCTCTCGCACCGAATGATACAATTGGCTTGGTCTTGAATCCCAGAAAAATGATAAGTATAATTGTGATGTTAACCAAGATAGATGGTATTCCAAACAATGCTGAATTTCTTTGACACCGGGGCGGAGGTCTCATCGTGACAGTACGCTTTTGCTTTTTCAGAGTTGGCTTGGAGTTTTGAAGGTGTAGAGTTCTTGATTTTTATAGGCTCATTCATATAATTACAGTCTCATATGCTGAAATGAAATATATTCGCCAATCTAAATCTATGATTTGGATAATTCGCCAGGTGATTGATATTTGGGTTTACCGCAGAGTATTTGATAGTCTTACCGTACTGGGCCGGAACGGCTAGTACAGATGATAGATTATTTTTGCTATGTATTAATTTAGATGGAAAGCTCGTCTAAATTTCTCGTCTAGCCTCTCAATACGCTAGCGGCTAGTCGGACTAACATCCGGATGATCATGAAGTCTAGTTGTTTAATCATCAAACACCTGCTCGTATATTACATACCGTGCAACAATAGTTTATTAGACTTGCAGGATACAGCAATGATATCAAATCGGGACATACTTGCCATTCACAAACTTGACACTCCATTTTTTTTTAGAAGCGATTCGTGTCAACTTATAATCAATACTCACATGCTTGTCCACCCTAGACTCAGGATGAAAAAAGCTTCTATAACTTCTCAATTCAAATTGCTCTCTAATGTAGTAATCGTTCGCTTCTGTGATAAGTAGTGTACGAACAGGTACACTAATCGGACTCAAATATATATCAACACACATTCGCTTACATTACAAGATAAGCGATACCAAATTGGGATATCTTATTGACAAATTGAGGCTCCATCGTTTCCCAGGAGGCAAAGCAACAGCATAGTGTTAGATGAAAATTGTATCCAGTTCCTGGCTCCATATACCAAAAACTTCTTTCGAGTCTCCAGCAATTTCTTGAGCAATTATGCTTCTAATTGCTGTCCCTGATTCAAAGATGCCATACAAGATCACAACATATTCATGAAAACAATTGAAATGAAAACTCCCACACTCAAATTGATAGATAATCTCATACCTTCTCTTCAATGTGATCTTAGATTTCGTCTGAGATTTAATTTCAAGTCAAGCAAATCCTCTGATGATAGCATGACAAATGAAGTTTTTACCCCTATCCCATGAAAAACCAACGCAACCATAGAAATTCCGACTAGACTCCAAATCGCGTGGACCGGAATGCAAATCTCAGGAGTGCATTCCAAGCCTTGAATAGCGCGTGCTAGATTCCGCACAAACACGATTTCATTCACAGTGAGTGACACGAACTCGACGATGGCCTAGTTGCCAATATTGATATAAGTTCTAGATAGGATGTGAGAGTGATCCTACACAAGTCATATCAAAGACTCCTAGTGAAGGCTCAATTATCTCTAATATGGTTGAAAAACTATGCGCTTCGGTGAAAATGGAGATGGAGCAACCCGCCGTGATGAGGTTGTAGAAGAAAATGACGTCTGACATGACCGATCCAATGAAAGCACCTGAGATTATTAAGATAGAACAGGTGAAGAATTTCGGCGTCTCGCCAAGCTTGGAAAAATGTTTCAAGGTTTCCTCTAGAATCCCGTGACTCAAACGGAGAAAGGTTTTCTCCCAGCTATGGTATGTGACTGGGGAAAGCTGTCAGCACGTTTTCTTTACACAGTTATGTTATTTCTCACGCTTTGCTCACCAAAGGTTGACAAAGCCCATTGGATGATTGATTTTCAAATCCCGCGATAAGGTCATTTCTTCCGCAAATCGTCATGAAGTATATATCGTAATGGTCACATACATTCTCTGGTGATCCGTCAGCTATCTTTAGGTCTCACATATCTAGTAATAGAATCGGAATCAATTTGCATCCTAGTATTATAGTGATAATGAAAACAGTGTCACCATAAACCCTAGAACGACTATCCACGGATAATACTGTTTATACCAAGGCATATTTATCATCATGATAATATGCTTTTGACCTTGGTAAATATTAAAGGAGTTAAATTGACTTATCGAAATGAAGTCTGAGAGCTGATATGCCTTACTGTGACACGGGTAGTTTGATGCAAAGTGCCTCAAGTTATCGTGGAAAAGATTGGGGGTAGTATGTAGGGCGGTGTATGCTTGATGGCTAATGGTGTTGTCTTAATAGCTCCAGAGTCTAAACTGACTACAAACGATGATATACTACGTTGATGCTTAATTATGCATTGCTCGCAAGTGTGAAGTATCCCACAAACTCACGACGATCTAACATCAATCCTGTCACCTGAATGAAGAAATTGCCGTATGTTGACTGCCACATATACAGATAGGCCTTAGCCATGTTTCCTCGAAAAATTGTCAATATGCTGTAATCCTTTTTAGGGGCCTTTGATGAAGATTTGATTTTCCTGCAACCGCTTTTGCGTGACTAATCTTGACGATAATAGTGAACCAAAAACAGGAATTATAAGACTGGAAGAAGATAGTAAATTCCGCTTGGAGACATGGGGCTTTACTTACCTACTCGCACCTGCCTATTCCTGCTATTCAGACCTCTTTTTTTTTCAACCCTGAGATTATATCCAGAAAGAAATCGTATATACCATTCATAACAGAGATGTTGAGGTACTCCCCAGTATCAGAATGCGCAAAGGTGAAAGCACTCCTATGACTACGCAAGCCAAGGTTACGTCCTTAAATATAAGAATTTCGACTTGCATGATGGTGTACATATTTAGTGAAAATATCCTCACTATTCTTTGGTGAAAGCTCAAGTCTTGAGAAGAGATATGGACTCTGTGTTTCAGATACTTCGTCCACTTTTCCTCCTCTTGTAGTCATTGATTGTGACCCACAGGTGACGTCTTTTGGGAGTCATAATATTTACGTGCTTCTTCAGACAGGCTATGAGAGCGGTTGTGCGGAGCCAATACATTTGGGGGTAGTTTGATATTACCTGAGACTGCAGAATTTCCAATAAGAAGAAAAGACAAAGAGTCCTAGCGCAATCTTTCCTCCCTTCCTCTGAGCTCCAGAAGTTTGAATGCTCTAGAGGTTCTCCCACTTCTCCAATTTATCTGATTTTTGAAACCGGATATAGCCTTCTCCTCCGTCGGGTTGGGAGAAGAAAAGGAGAGATTGTAAGCGCCATGAGAACGTAAGAAATAATAGATAATAGCTAAGCATAGGTAAGTTCTCACGACATCTCTATAAGTAGAATATTGAGCACACAGTCCAAAATCACAAGACAGTATTTGAAAACCCTTATCTTTCCATATGATATTTGAACAGTATTCACACAAGACATGCCAATTCATCAAAGCCAACGGAAAAACAACGAGTATAAATTCCCCAACGTCCCGAACGCAGCCAAGCTTCAAGAATATCAAACCAAACTATCTTTAACATGCTTAAACACACCACCCGCTCATTACCAAGCATTATAAATCCCCAAAGCCAGAAATTCCATCAAAATCCTACTAAACATCCGTCCAACTTCTAACGTAAGATTAGCAGGTATTGAAACCAGGTAATATACACCGCCTTGCTAATACTATCATCATAAACTTCAACCTGAGCCACGACCGTATCCTGCATACGTTGGAGGTGGCGGTCCTTGAGAGGTTGAGGTTGAGGTGGAGACCTTTGAGGTCCCCGTGCGTATACATTTGGAGACGGCGCCATTCTCGTTCCAAGAGGCATCGACATTTGCATCGAGGCCGGGTACCCTCTCGAAGTAGGCCTGAGTTGCTCTTGCCTAATATTGTGGGCCGGGACCTGTGACCGTTCAGCCTCCTCACCAGAATCAGATTGATTTGAGTCCCGTCATCTAGAGAATATCGACGTGGATCCTCACCATTTCATGCAGCAGGAACCGAAAACTCTTGAATCGCTCTCTCGTTCTTGAGTGTTCCCACAATCAGTATCTCCCTACTCACGAGACTGAAGAGCACTGCCGTGAGCCCCAACCCAATGATGGTAGTACTGATATTTACAGTGATTTCATCTTCACTAACAGACTGAATTTGCCACCGATAATCGATCAAGATCCATGGGCAGGCGATTGCAGCCGCAAGCAAGGTGAAGAAGGACATCTAAATGCATTCCATAAGAACACATTTTTCGAGAAAGAAAAAAGGCAGAGAAAGATGTACATACAAAAGCCATCGCATTTTCGATTTTGGGGTGATGTAGATGATTCAAATGAACCTTTATGCCGAAGAAGCCATGGGCGAGATGGGCGAGGCCACTCAGAAAAAATAAGGCAAAGATAATTCTAAGATTTGGAAATCCTGCGGGTAACCATATGTTAGTGGAGGATCAAGATGAAAACAGCGAATATAAACCCCAAGAATGGGTTTTACCAGCAAAGGAAGCATCATCAGAAAGAACCACCGGTAAATTCCCTAACAAAAAGTGTCAGCAGCTTCTACGTGAACAGATCGAGTATATTAAACTTACCATGACAGCCGTCGTTGATCCCATCAATCTTAGACCGGCAAACTTTGAAGAAATAAACTCTATATAAATCAAACTCCTCAGAAGGGGCGTATAACTGCAGGAGCCGGCCTGGCTCAGATACACTTCCTACAACGAGAATAGTTATGATGAACGTCACAACCAAAACGATGAGGAACATTTGAAAGTACTTTGGATATGTCTTGACCTTATCCGTGAATTTTCTATGAATCTCCATTGTGGTAAATGTTTGATAGATGGTTTGTTTGCTTGTCGTGGTATTTGTCTTCGAGGGTTGGGTATCTTGTATTGTAGTGGTTGAGAAGTTAAGAAGTTAAATATGAACTTCTTCGACTTTTGTGTTGCCTAGTGTGGAACCCAAGAGTAATAATACATTTATTTAACTTCGATGAGTAATATTTAGTCACTTGAAGTTGATTTACCAACTCTGACTCTTTACTACGCGCGAGTCACTGGAAATACACGAGCATGTGTCGCTCAAAGATGGAGAAAGTCATAAGGCTAACATTTCCTCAGCCATGAATTGGAATAATAATGACTCCCATAGCCATTTATTGACTTCTCTTACTCATTCCACACAGTCAACGTCACAGGAGCCCATCGCATCATAGCAGGCGGACTGATTGTGAACGCATCTTGCCCACCTCGAATCATTGTCAATGAAGTATATCTCGATGCCAAGAGGCTGTAGAATATGAAGTTTCAAACTCTTCAATAGAATTCAGATAAAGATATACCACGGTGCTTGCTATTACGAAAACAACTTGCCGACTGGCAGACTCACAGTGCTACTGTAGTGGGTTCTCCCAATCAGAAGATATTCACACAGATTGAGATAAAATACAGAGGGAACCAAACATCAGGAGGAAAGCAAATCTCAAGCGAGAACTATTTTAAGAACGATGAATCAAAAACGCCACCACAATTCCTCAATATTCTCCCTGCATAACCAGCTGAGACACCAGCGCAAAAGCAAAAAGACAAAGATAGGAAGGAGCCAGATAAACCATTTCATTTTCCTCAATCCGCATAAAAACACAACTAGGGTTTGCGATCTTTCTTCACCATCTCTCGAAGATGTTCTTCACTTTCCTGTCGGGAGCCCACGGTGTACCATGGAAATTTATATTTCTATGCGTCTCGGCGTTGGTTATGGTTCATTACGTGTTGGTGGATATTCCGCCTAACAATGAGGCCATACCAGAAACATCAAAGTCAATTGAAGCAACAGATATATTCCCAAGTCCGACGCCTCCGAAACATGCAGGTTCTGCAGGAACTTTTGATGAATTCAAGGCAATGCTTGGTATCTTTGGTGGGACGGAAACCTCGAATTCAGAAGACGCGAGTCTCCCAGAGCATACAACGAGTTCAGGAGCCTTGGGACCCGGTCATAGATTCAAGAAACCATTCCTTGGATCTAAGCAGGATACTCGAGACGACGAATATATTTCTGTGTGCATGGCAGTTAAAGATCAACAACAAGACTTACCCGAATTCTTCATCCACCACTACTATCACCTTGGGATAAAAAGATTCTACATCATGGATGACGGTTCTGACCCACCTTTATCGGAAATGGAGGATTTGGGTATACCTCAAGAGCATGTAACTTTCCAATACTTCAATAAATCAGAACATACCTACTATATGCAAGAACACGTCTACAAACTTTGCGTCGAAAAGTACCGGAGCAATCACACTTGGATGGCTTTCATAGATGCCGATGAATATCTGGAGATGACGGGAAAGGAAAATCTGATCGAGTTCCTAGAATCTTACGACGAAGATGATCACATCGGGGCAGTATATGTATCTTGGATGACACATTCCTCTGCTGGCCTACTGAACAGACCCAAGTCTGTGCGCCAGGCCTACATCGATTGTATATGGGACGGGGAAGGTCATAATGTGCTAGGTAAAACCATTGCCAAATTGTCACTCTATGCTGGTCCAAACACCGTCCATCAGGTGCGATGTAAAGACGGAGCGATAGTTGTTGATGAAAACGGGATCAAGGCACATGTAAGACGATATTCGCCGACAAGAGATCGAATAGCACTGCATCATTATGCGTTGAAGAGTCGAAAGGAATATCAAGAGAAAGTCGATCGAGGCAATGCGATGAGTACTCCGAAAAATTGGGGGTTTTGGGATAGCGTTGAAGGCATGGCAGGTATAGAATGTCTTTCCATGACAGAATATTATCCATGAACAAGAATCATCTAGGATGAGCTTTGGAAACATTCGAGCTGTGTATTGGTATGTTTGAGATCGACATGAAATTTGTACTTAATACAGATTTGTGTTTCCCAATTTCAAGTGCGTTTATTGTCTTTGATTGATCTCCTGGTCCAACGGGGTTGTTTTAGAGTCAGTTGATGGTAGTCCTAGGTCTTTAATCGTGTGCCAGATAGAGTTCCATGATCTTCATTCACTCCTCTGATATGATCTGTTAAGGGTGTTCGAATTCTCTCAATCCAGACTGGTGAGAACAATTTTCATAAGTAGATCAGACCAGATATTGCTATTTTCTGTATCAGAATAATATCCCGGAGACTTGGACTTCCTGATGGAGTAGTCTCTCACACAACAAAGCGTCGAGTCTAGAACAGGCGATGGGATTTTCCGGTCAAGAAAAGTCTCAATGATAGGAATACTGCATTCCATGTTCACATCGTGAAAGTCCAGGTCTTGCAGCAGCCCCAGCTCTCTGAAGGCTACTTCAAGAATCTCTAGTTTCTGCGTCTTGACGAAGGGTGTAGTAGTCAGCCTAAATGCAATGCGAAATTACACCTACATAGATACTTCCACGAAGTTGCACTGAGCATCGGTATTGAATGAGCGATACAGTATTGGTAGGTACTCGAGTAGATTTATCACCATCCTTCTTTCGTCGATATCGGCTTGTTGCCCAGACTCACGGTTCGCATGATGATGGATGGTGAAGCTGTGGACAGTTCATGAGGCAGATCTTGAGCACATTTCATCGGTTTTCAATGCCGCTCTTGAATGCTTCAGCTATCTAGGAATAAGCTTTGAGGTCAAAGCGGTGAAATTTGGTGCGCGACGAGATAAGAAATGATTTCGAACTTTAAAAGCGGCAATTAAATGAGTGAGTTTTGGTAATTTTTAAACTATATTCAGTTAGTCTGAGCGTGTTTGAGCACTTTATTTATCCACCTTGGCACCTTTTCCACACCACCACCTTCTTCTGAACTGGTTAAAACGACGATGAATAATAATTTGAGCAAGATAGAGCAAAAAGGGTAAAAATAGTAAAAAGAGTAAAAAGAGTAAAAGCAAGGTAGGGAAACAAGGTAAATATGCAGGCCATGATTCTTTTGGAGTAAACTGTGAAAGTTTTGATATCTTTCGTTTGACACTCACTTGAATATTCACTTCAAACAACAGCCTCAGTATCAAACTCAACCCAACCTTGACGACCTCACACACCCAAAGCAACAACTGCTTCTTCCTCATCTTCATCTGATCTCCCAATATCCATCAGACTGGGCATACTGAAACCTTCGCAACCAAACCGCCTGTTCGGAACATATTCCTAGGTAGTACTAGGTATCCAGAGCCTCATACCTTTCTCCCCCGGATTTTCATGCAAAGGAATCTAGAAACATACCGTACTTCGAACACTTCCAACTGCCTCAGATCCGCTTGTTTGCAAATATCTACCTCATAACTTCTCATCGTTCTTACCTCCACTATATTAAAGAGTTTCTGTCCTCTCTTCCTTCAAATCATCATTCAATCAACTCAAGTTACTACTACATTAATCCATTAATCCTTATTTGCATCAACAAACGATCCGCCGGCGGTTCATACAACATCACTACAAATATCCATACATTTATATTCTCAACAAAACTTCTACTATCACCCACTCCATCAACCTTCAGCCAAAATGGATATGTCAACATCCGACATGGATATGCCCACCATGTCCACCATGGCCAACAGAACCACAATGGACATGTCCATGATGTCAATGACCTTTTTCATCTCCAAAACTACCGCTCTCTACTCTACCATGTGGACTCCAACAACCGATGCCGGCTACGCAGGAACCTGTATCTTTCTCGTTCTCCTCGCTACCCTCTTCCGCGGACTTCTCGCCGTCAAAGCCTGGAAAGAAAGCGCATGGCTCGCCGAAGAAACCAATCGTCGCTACGTTACCGTTGCTGGAAAGGGTCCCAAATCCGAGCGTATCAGCATAGATAGCGATGCGAAGAATATGACACTCAGTGAGAATGGTATGGAGGAGAATGTAATGGTTGTTAAGACACGTTCTATGGGTGTTCGACCATGGAGATTGAGTGTCGACCCTGTGAGAGCGGTTATGGATACTATTATTGCTGGTGTTGGATGGTTACTGTAAGTCTTTCTTCACATAATCTCTTTGGCTTTATAGAATATGGACTAATTGGGAAATAGTATGCTCGCAATTATGACTATGAATCTTGGATATTTCCTATCTGTCTTGGGTGGTACGTTCCTTGGAAGTTTGGCATTAGGTCGTTATGTCATTGCTTTTGAGCATTAGACATATCAAATAATAACAAACGACCTATAAATGTACTGCGGCAGGCAAGCGGCTTTATAGGATTTAATTTAATGATTATGATCATGGGATGGGATGGGATGGGGATGGAGAATTGAAGGAGTTTAGGATGACAAAGCGCACATCATTTCAAAGAGAGAAATGGTTGATGTTTTGACTGAGGGGGGGATTTGGGTATTATGACTCGTTAATGAAGCATGATTGTTAAATTACCTGATGGATCAATACGATGTGATAATTGTTTGTCTGGATTTGGGAGTTTTAAAAGGGAGTTGGGGATTAAAGAGATGGCATCAATATTGCTTATTAGCATGAGCATCAGCATGAGCATAGCGTGAGCATGGGAGGAGCACCATGGGAGGATAAAGAAGATGAGAGCTTGTATAGATTCATACAGATCATATATACCAAGAAAGAGAAAAAAAAACACTTCAAAATAAGCTCTTTTCCCATCTCGAGCGATGACATCAAAAAAAACATGAATTTCCTCACATTCCTATCCAATCCAACCCCATCAAACCCACCATCTAAAAAACGAATCCAAACTCCAAATACACAACCTCCCGTTTTAAATCCCAAGCACAACCATATCATATCATTTTTTTTATCTTTTTATCACACCACATACTAAATACTGAATA